GCCATTCTTTGTCTAGCATGAAACTAAACAGAGTAGGTAATCAATAAATACTTGTAAATGTAACTGAATTTCAAGAAACCTTTATAAAACCTTTACTTTAAATAAAATGAGATAACAAAAGGTGGTAAGTTCAAGGCAAATGTGTTTTTTGGCAGCTGTGCTGTTCTTATGTCTTATGTCTTGATTGATGGCATGGAAATAGAAAAAAATTAACTACCTCACCTCTACTAAAACTGGGAAAACTTCCTGGAGAAAGGTGAACAATAATAGTAGCTGTAGAGTGCCTCAGAGTTTATAAAGTACACTCACATTCATCTTTTAGAATTTCAGAACCTCTCTGAAGAGAAAATTTTCAAGACAAGGGAGATAAAGAGACTTTTCAAGTTTGTGAAAAAGCACTATTAAATCGGGAATTAGAAAATTAGGCATAGAGGGGTGCCTGGGTGGCTCAACCGTTTAGCGTCTGCCTTCGGCTCAGGTCTGTCCTGGGATCGAGCCCCACATCGAGCTCCTTGCTCAGCAGGGAAGCCTGCTTCTCCCTCTCCCACTCCCCCTGCTTATGTTCCCCCTCTCGCTGTCTCTCTCTGTCAAAAAATAAATAAAAATCTTAAAAAAAAGAAAATTAGGCATAGAAACTAAGTAAGGCTAACAAGGAAAAGCAAAAATAAAGGCAAAGAAGAAACAGATATAATGTAAAATTAGTAACAGGTCCAGTGCAAGGCTTTAAACCAGGTGATAAAGTTGATTTAAATGCATAGCATGAAACCAAGATGCCTTAGATTACATAAGATAAAGAATACACGGTTAAAATAATGAAAAATGTCATTAAAGTAAGCATTAAGAATGAACTTATAGGACTAATCATTGAAGGTGAAAAATGAATAGAATCTTCGCATACAAATTCACTCATTTCTTCATTAGTCACCTCCATTTTCCCAGGGCTTTAACAGTGTTCTTAAGCCAATATATATCCAAAAATATTTGCTGAAGCTCTATATAATGCTAGACCTTTTTAGGTTATTAGATATGGTCTAATGAGATATGGTCCCTTCCTATGAAAAATTTGCTTTCTATAAAGGTAAAACATTTAACAGAAAGGAAAACTTTTCATATACATGTTAAAAGTTAAAGAGCAAAATAAGGCAGACGGAGCCAAAAAAAAAAAAAAAGAGTAAAAGCTATAACAGTCCAGAGAAAGAAGAGATCACTATGCAATGATATGCTCAGGAAAGACCTTGAGAAAATAAGGGGCATTTGCAATGGGCCTTCAGGAATTGGGTGGCGGGTGAGATATGAACAGAGCCAAGAGAAAGGCATTCAGAGCAGAGATATGTGGCTGAACAAAGGAATGGGGTTGAGATAATGAAGGTGCTTTATGGAGAGTGAAAATTAAGTAGGACTGTAATAAAAAGTATATGAAAACACAGGATACAAAATTGTAAGCTGAGACTGAAATGTGAAAGGCTTTGAATGCAAAGTTGAGGAGCTTGAACATTTTCTGTAAGTAATCAAATAATCAAAATTTCTGGGCAAAAGAGTAATATAATGAATATGATATTTTAGAAATATCAAGCTGGCTCTTGACGTGCATAATAAATGGTGTACAAAAGGTAAGGCAAACAGTAAGAGTCCAAGGTATGAAGAACAATCCTATTTTTATTTCTTCCATCATCACCACATTTGTATGAAATTCAAGCTGCCTAAGCATAGAGTAGAATAGATAACTATATTAAAAAAGTAACCAGAGACTCTCCCAAAGTGATACATAAACAGTGGCTTTAGAAAGTTAAGAGAAAATGCAGTTGCAGCTAAAGCTTAAAAAGCATGTGAAAAATAGAAGTCACATGCCTTGTTAATTGCACTATTCATTCAGGGGGAAACAACAAATCACATCAAAGTAGCAATATGAATTAACCATAAAAGTATATTTTACCTAAGCTGGAACTATTGGTTCATGTCACTGTTAGCATGTAAGAAAACTAAGATTAGTCTCTTCTCTCATTACCACAAAAAAAGTAAGCCAACCTATGTTCTCCACCTCCATTCCTTAAAGACAATTCTCCCTACATTCCCTTAATCCTCTCCAACAATTCCCTAATTCTATCTCCTTTCTTCTGTATAAACTTCTGTCTCATTGAATCTTGTTCACTTCTTAATCCCACTTCAAAATATTAAATGTTATAAATTTTCTGAAATTGCTCTTAATAAATGTAAGATCCTTAGCCTTTACATAGTGCTTTGTAACTGACAAAATATTTTACACACATTACTTCTTAAAAGCCTCACAGAAGCAATGCACAGCAGGTATTATCATCATCCATATGCTACAGAGAAGCAGCAAGTCCAGGGCCACACAATCATAAGTGATAGAGTGAGGCCTGCAATACAGGCTTTCTAAGTCCAAATTCCATATTCTCTTCTTTAGCATTCAATTTCATAATGTGCCAATAGGTGTATCTTATTACTCAAAATGTATGTTATTGCTCTGTATTATGTTTAAGTCAATACATCTTGTTTTTAATAAAGGTGCTTATGCCCAAGTGCCTATTACAGGGCCATTTACTAAGAAGACCTAATTATGTTCAAGATGTTCATGATGATGATGATATCACTGGATGAAAAGCGACAACTGAAGTATTATGTTTCCAAATTGCTAAGACTATCCCAAAAATATTTTTGCCTGTAATGCAACATGCAACAACAAAGACAATATGGGTGATTTAAGGATATGTGAGCATCAAAGGGCAGAAATAGGGCATTCCTACTCTCTTTAACTCTGCTAAGGCCTCAAATACTGATATAGTTCAGAGCATCTTATTACCAGGGAAACATAAATCAAAAGGAGTTCAGCTAGGAGCAATAAAACAGATTAGTGTCTGGAAGCACAGACTTTAAAGAAAGTTTTAAAAGAATTAAATCCAGGTAGTCTAGATAAAAAACAGCTATGAGGAAATCTTTTTTTTTTTTGAAGCTGTCACTCACACCAAAGACAGAAATTATTTTGAAGACAGATGTCTAAAAAATGCAAAAAATAAATAATCGTAAATATTTGGAGAATATTTATAAAAGGAAAATTCAAGATAGATATGCTGGCAAAAACCTATGGGACAGAACTCTCTCCCACAAGTGTGGTAAAAACTACATTCCTAGAGATATTTAATACCAGGCTGGACAAAACAAGAAAAGGATTCCATATGGAATGATCCTGTACTGGCCCCTGAAGTGGTGGGAGGATTGAAGATGACCTCTTAGATCTTTTCCATTTCTGACTTTTTTTTAATTCTATGAAGTTTTATGGGGCACAGCCTTCTGTCAATTTCCTTTCTCCCGATGATGCCCATTTTTTCCTTTCACAAAGGGAAACAAATTGTATCCTTCATTTTTAAGCTGATCTCATGTTCTCAATGAATTGGTAATACAATGCTAGGTACAAGTTTGGGAAAAAAAGGCCAATTCTTATAATTTATAATGGTCCTTCTCCCTCTCCCCCCAGTGGTTCTTGTGGTTCTTATACATTTTTTCAGAGTAGTAGTTGACATGGATTCGAAGAGCTGTTTCATCAGGAAAACCATTAATATTCTCCATTCTCATGTCTGATCACAGAGCTGACAGTGACCCTGGGAGCTATAAGGCCCTGGGTCAAATTACCATCAGAGCTGCTGTTCAGGATTATCTTTTACCTTTCAGCATTTTATGCTGAGTGACAGCAAAATCTATTGCAATCCACATTTTTATGGCAATGACATTTACCTTTGAAAAGATGTAGCCTTACACTCCTATACACTTTGGCAAATGTTGTAAAAGTAAATCCTATTCACGCTTTAAATTCAAGAAGCCTCAGCCTTGTTCTCTTTATCCACTCTGGCACTTAAAAAAATTTTTTTTCCCCAGCCACCCTTGAGATAGATCCCAGTACCTCTCCAGAATCCCCATTCAGTGAAACCCCAGAATATACATACGCATTTCCTCGTTTTGCTGATTTACAAAGAAAAGATGTAACAAAATCCAGGGAGCTCTAAGAACCTGTCCTTGAGCTCTTTAAAAATAAAACTGAGGCTCACTTATGAAAAGGGACAGCAGGGCTGTCCTCCAAGACAGCCTCCAAGAATGGACACCGATGCCACTTTTATACAATCTAAACAGTCTCAGTAGCTGAGGACACACCAATTCCCATCTTGACTATTTGAAAGAAATATGCCCCTACCCACAAAGAAAATTCATATATATTAACACTACAACCTCTAAAGAAAATTTTAAATGCCATTTTCACTTTTTCCTAGTAAAAATGAGACTATTCGAACCTAAAAAGATTGGCCTCTCGCACTTGAATATGATTTGGAGTTTTCAAAACCCTTCCAACACTTAACTCATTTGATCCTGGCAAGAAAGAAGGCTGGCATTTATAATCCCATTTTAAAACAAACAAACAAAAAAATGCGACTCTAAGATTAGAACCCACTGTGGAGATATTCAAACCTTCCCCAACAAAAAGGTCCAATCTAAAAGGAATTATCCAGAAAACTTTAGAGTGGGTTTCAAAAGAGGCTGTATCACCCATATCCTCAACTCAGGGAAGCAAGAAATAAGAAAAACAAAAAGGAACTTTTTTCTAGAATTTTAGGAATGAAACGTGACCCTGATCCATTAGTGGCCTATGAACCTGTCTGAATTTTCTCAAGAAACCCCCTACATCTTCTCCCCACACAGGACTGGCCTGCCAATTGTTCTGGCTACCAGTTCTCGGCCTCGGAGTTCAGACGCCCAGCCAAAGGCCGGCAGCCGGGACCAAGACAACCTGGTGACCCCCTCTGCGTAATCACGTCAGGAGTCCCATACTCCGGTGTCCCCTAGCCCGCTGCCACCAGCTTTTCAGAGGAGCTTCTACCAGGCTCTCCTCCAAGTCGGCTACCACCCCCACCCCACCCCACACACACAGCGAGTGCTCGCTTCCTATTCCTCAAACTTCCCTCACCCCGCTAGACTGGAAGCAAGTTTCTCACCATCCTCATAGTTTTTGAGATAGTAATCCGGACCGGGGCCCCCGCGGCTTTTCGCCGGGTTCCTCAGGTTCTGGAACTGCAGGAAGTCGGTCCGTTTGCCCCCGAAGCGCAGAAAGGCGGGCGAAAGTCCCCGAGCCAGGGTCACCAGACGCTTGGAGCTGCAAGGGTAGAGAAAGAGAGAGGAAAGGATCGGGGGGAAGGCGAGAGGGCGGGGGACACCGACCAAGGCCCTCTTCCCACTCTCCGCGAGTGACCTGGAGGAGGCTATGGACTGTGTCCACTCCAGTCCGCCAACCGCGCGGGCCCCGGCATCTCGCGTGCGCCTGGTTCCCGGGGCTACGCCTCCTGCGCCCAGCCGGCCGCGGCCCCCTCCCTCAGACAACCCGACTCTTCTCGCCAAAGGTACTTCTTTCCAAACGGTTAGTCTGTTTGTTAACACAGTGCGTGTGGGGGGCGGCGGGGGTGGGTACTTCTGCTGAGAATACGGGGCTAAGGCGCAATTGCCCAGCTTCTGCCACTGCCGGGAAAGCGCTCCTGGCGGAGGCGCGCAGCGCGCGGACTGCCGGGCTCCGACTTTTGCCAAACTTCTAGGCTGAAAGCCGAGATCTGCTTCCTCCGCCCCAGGGGCACCGCAACCTCTGTGGATAAGGTGAAACCTGCCTTTCTCTCAGACCAGGTACCTGAAGTCGAGTTTTTCTTCTATTTCTTCTTCTTCTTCTTTTTTCTCTTAATGCTTAAGTTGATTTTCCTTCAACACTATCTTGTAACAACCGCATCCATCTCCCAAACCCTGGACAAGAGATTCTCCGGGGTAAATCCTTGCTTTTCTGAGAACTCTCCCCATCCTTGCCTTGCACGGTAAAAGCAATGTCTCTTTGCTCCCTTAAATAATTCAGCCTGATCTCAGGATAGGTAACATCCTCCTCTCTACTCTCTGAGTTCAGCTTCATCTTTTTCCTTCCTACGTGGGGCCCTTTGGAAGCAAGCTCTGGGAAAAGTGAAGTTTGCCGAAATGTGGAACCTGCTCCTCAGAGGAGACTCGAGGAACACCAGAACGGCATTTACATTTATTTAGGTTCAGGATTTCCATAAATAGTTTTTAAAGCCAAAAGCTACTTCAGGGAGGGGTAAAGAAGGAGCAGTGCAGATGCTCTTAGTACTGAGACGATCAACTGTTGAATTTTGGATCTGTAAGTTATTTTTAACGCTTTGCTGGTTCAGGTTCTGAAAATCCAAATCCAAATGTAGAAAACACACAGAATCATAAAGGAGGTGGATATGAAATCAAAAAGCCGGGCACTCCAGTTTCGGAGAGTTGTTGACAAAAGTGGTAGCCGCCCTGAGAAGTCCGGTGGCCGAGAACGTCTTTGGCCGAGGACTCCAGTACTGCGTTCTAGGGCGGGCACAGTCAGGGCATCGCGTGGCCCCGCAGCGGGCAAAGGAGACATCTGCGCCAGTACCGCCCGGCAGAAAAGGCATTTCCAACAACCGCCCATCCAGAAGCCGGTACAGCCAATGCAAATGCGCCCCGCCACGGCTTCTTCCCCGAAAAGCCGCCTTCCAGAATCTTTTCTGCAACATGCATTTAACAAGATGGCTTAAAAGGGAAGGAAGGAAAAATAAGCCCGAAGGAGTCCACGCAGCTGGAGTAGTGCTATGCAAATGGGGCGTGTATTTTGGAAAACCCCCGTCGCCCCCAACCATCGGACGAGTTCAGAGACGCGCTCTGCTCATGATAGAACTTCCGAGGAGGAAGCCGGGCCGCGCGTAGTTCTTCCCGCCTTCCCAGTGGAGGCACCGCCAGGAACCGAAACGGCCTCAGCGGCGGCAGCAGCAACACCAACCGCTCAGTCCTCCCGCAAAGCTGGCTCCACGTGGAAGGAGCGCTCCATGTGGCGCCTCTGGCTACCTGCCGCGTCCACCGACCCCGCTGAGGCCCGGGCAGAACCGCACCGCGGAGGGGCGGGAGCATGCCGGCAGCAAACGGATTTCGCAAGCAGTGAAAGATACGAAAGACTAAAGACGCGCGGCGGACGCGGCCTCCGGGCAGAAAAGTGGGACTGAGAGAGCGCTCAGGGCTCTTCGGGAGAGCCCACAGCTGAGGCTCCAATTTGGAGGGAATTTTTAATAACTCAACACTGGATTCGACATTGCAGACGATTTATTTATTTTTTTTACACTACAACTCTGTTCCTGATGGGAAGGGATCTTAGTTGCCTAACTGCTCAACAGTAACAACTCAGAGAAAGAGTGAGCCGAATTAGATCCCAAGCCGTTGAGTAAGAGGCGATGCCATGATCACAAACCACCCGGTTTGGTAATCCGCTGGTGCCGAGTTCAGACCTCCGAAACATCCCCGGAGTATTTCTAGGACCCTTTCCGCTCTCCTTATATACCCTATGACTGGAGCGAGAATTTTTTTTTCTTTAAAGAAAAACTAAACTATGAAGTTACTGCAGGAGATTTAAGGAGGAGGGACTGGGGGGCCATTCGGTCTATAAAAAAACGTCTTACAAAGTCCTGAAGTCTGGAAAGGACAACGAAGGATGTAAAAGGAAACTTCAAAAATCTGATCCAACTTGCCCACCGCTCAAGTCTGCTTAAATTCGTTTTCTGTCTTTGAGTGGGAGAGAACTGACAAATCGATCTTTCCGTGGAAAATTCCACTTTCGTGCGATCCCCGCTTGCTCACACACACACACACACACACAGGCACACACACTCTCACACACACCCATTCCTCTCGGGTCTTTGTTGCTCGAGACCTTTTCTTCGCTTTTGTAACTGCCCTGAACCTCTTGTTTCTTTTTCAGAAGGAGACGGGGAGGCTAATTGTGGATATATGTAAGCACAACATTTTTTCAGTCATAACTGATAAGTTTCTGAAATGCCTTCTGCATTGCAAACATGTGCATCTTAATAGAAAACATTGCTTTTCTCAATCACCAGTTAAAGCCTCACAAAAAATATTCCAGGAGGAGGAAAACCTCTTTTCTTCTCTTTGTGAGATCGCTTGGCTTATTTTCTTCTTCTTCTTCCCCCTTTGGAATGGGGGATAGGAAGGGGTGGGGGTTGTTACTTTAAAAAAAAATGATCCATGGAAGCCCCTGCCTTACCTTAAGAAATCGAGCCAGCCATCATGAATGATGGACGGATCCAGCTGCAGAGAGAGGAAGTTCTCATTGACTGTCCTGACTGGGTTCTTGGTGCTCACATCAAGTAGAATCAGAGTCTTTTCCTTCAAACCTGGAGCTCTGTCTACAGGCAAGGGTCTCCTGTCTCCAACTTGGGAGGAAAGGGAGAGATGGAGCAACAGAGCCAAGAAGAAAGCCACCGGGGCTAGGCACTCAGGGGGGCGGGAGTTGCTGGAGGGCATGGCTTCAGGGAAGGCACAGAGCACCCTCATTAAATCCCTCTGATTTAAACCTCTCTTCCTACAGGGTCTCACTGGTGACTAATTGTCCTTATCTAAAGTGTGTGTCTGTCTGCCTCCCCCCCCTTTTTTTTCCTTTCCTTTTTTTCTCCCCTCTCGCTCTCTTTCTCTCTCTCTCTCTTTTTTTTTCAGTGTTTTGGTGCTGGTGGAGCGAACTCACGCCCCTAGCCAGCCTTCTCAGCGACTCGTGCCAAGAGTACTCGTTCACCAGCACCGCCCCTTTAAGAGATTTCGACTGCAGACATTTTTTAACTTTTTAAAGGTGAGGGGGTAGGGGGGAGAGGCGGGAAGTAGGAGGAAGGGGTGGCGTTGTACCCTCCTGATTTAACCCTCTAAGGTCAGGAAGCAGAGAGAGGGATGGAAATTGTATGGTTGTAACGTTTTGGGTACGGGGCGGGACGTCTTGTTTTTACTTCCCTCCCAGCAAGGCTCTGGGGAGGGCGGTTCTAGCTTCAGTCCCGACACGAAAGCCCCAGCGCCAGCCCTGGGCGTGCAGGAGTAAAGAGTGCGCACCCGCGGTGCGCCTGTTTCTCCTGACAGCGGCAGGCATTTCTTCCGCTCTGGGCCCTTCCCTTTGCGTTGAAGGAGCAAGAGTAAGAGTGGTTAAGTTGCACAGGGGGTCCTGCGGCGGCGACTGTGATTCCTGCCAAAGCACAGAGTGCAGATAGAGACTTCATGGACACAAGTATGGACCTCTACTACGCGCTGGGCTGCCTCACAGAAGCATCCTCTGAACTCAATAGGGAAAACAGTAGCCAGAAGGAATAGAGAGTTACCTGGTCAAAGGGCTTATCCGCCGGTAGGGGCAAAAGGGCCCAGGCTGCGCGTGGCTCCGTTCTGCCTGCAGCCAAGGAAAAAGTGTCTTGGGGACTTCAATATACGCTGACTTAGGCCAAGTCAAAGCAATCTGGTCCATGCTTGGACAGTCTGGGCGGCGCTGCGCCCATCTGAGCCATGGCTTGGCCACTCCACTGCACAGCCAGACTTGCCCTTCCAGCCCCTCCTTGAGATGGACCATGGGGTTATCCCTCCTGCAGGGAAGTATGCCTTTATGGTGCCAGAAAGGACCAGAGTAACACAGTTGGGTTTTCAAACTTGGCCAGGAGTCACAGCCAGTGTCCGCCCGCACGTCCCTGGATGCCCAAGAACAGCCAGGAGCGCGTGGAGTTCCACCCACCCTAACTCACCAACCCAGACCCACACCACCTCTCAGGCAGAGCCATGGGTCCCAAACCCAAGTGTGGAAAAGAAGTCAGGCCCAGTTTGCTGTACTCACAGCAGAGTTGTGGCACTACTGTCAGCTTCTTTCTGGAACAAAATGGGCCTTCTACTTGGCAGATGAAGATAACTATTTTATGTGTTGTGGGTATACATGAGCGTCCCAGGGCCTCCAGACATCAAACTGGCAAAATGCAGAGCAAAGGTTTTCCCCAAGTGTGGATGTGCAAATGGCGGTCTCAGAGGCAACAAACACTGAAATGGCAACCTGTCTCCCCTCTCTCCCCCTCAAGATAGGATGAAAGAATCTGAAAAGGGCTAGAGTGCATGACCTTCAACTGAAGTTCCCTGAGGAGCTTCTACCAAACTCAGCAACCAAGAAATACAGAGGTTAGATTGGGTTAGACTGGGAAGTGCCATTAAGACCTTCTAGAAGTAGAACTGCATAAAATGAGGCCAAAAGAGAAGGAAAATCCAAAGCATATTATTTAAAGATGATTTTAAAAACCAAGATGTTATATACTGAAATATTAGATGTGAGCTTTGGCCCTTAAGGCCTGCCTGCTTCTTTCGGTTCCTGAAAATTTCTGACACACACCTAAATCCTTTAAAATATGTGCGTGTTTCTGTGTGTGGATGTGTGGTACGGTATAAGTTCCCATAGAAATTACCATAATTTTAAAATGCGCACTGAGCACCTCCTTGAGATGGTAACAGCCTGGTGAGCAAAGATTTTTATTTACCTTTGTATCTCCAGACCCAGGCACTTAGCAGGCACTCCATAAATGTCTATGAAATAAATTAATGGTAAATCAAATCATGCTTAATACAATAAAATCATATAGTGCTTTCAAGAAGAATGTGAAAAAAATAAGACATTTGTCACAGTGAACTTCGTTTTAGGTTTCAGTTCAGTAATTTGTTTTCCCAGCTCTTAGCATTTTCCTGGTCACCTCCTTCAGGAAATACTTATCTTACAAATTCAGAAGCCATTTGTTCATTTGCTGTATTCAGAATTAAAACTGATTATATATGTTTAACAAAGAGTCAGATTTTCCAAAGGCCTAAACATCCCCCTGGCTTACAAGTGAATGTACTTTTAGAAGCCACATTAATTGGGACCAGAGGACAACCACATAAATGAAATAAATCACTCACCGACTAGATGTCTGTAATTAATGTATCTTTCAAAAATACCTACTCTTGGGACTAAGGATGACCTTGGGTATGAGAATCTGCCTACTTATTAATTTTATCCACGATGTTTGCTTACTTACCCAAGTATTCTATAATTGTTTGGTGTCCTAGTTACTTTAACCAGTATTTAATGTTCTCCTCAGAACCTGTATATAGTATAAAAATCAAAACTAACAAAACAGGGTTTTTTTTTTAATTTCTGATGAAAACCATCTTCTTTAGTCTAGCCATTGAAATTCTATAGTCATGTACAGCCTCAGGACATCAAGGCAAAGAAAGCAATTTAGTAACATTTAAGGAGTTCCAGATAGCCCTGGTTGACTCCAAGATGACCTGATTGTTTGGTCCTTTGGTCTAGTTTGGCTTTTGTCTTTCTTCCTATCTAATCCTATATTATATGCTGTGAGTCCCTCATTATTAATCTGTATATTAGATTAGTTTCTACTCTGGTTTCTATGTGCTGAGTGGCAATGACCTGTACCTCTGTTTTGTCTTAAATTGTAATTTCCTAGGAGATAAGAAGTGGGGCCTTTGTATAAAATGTGAATTATTGGGAACTAGATGCATCTCCTTGGAAATGCTCTTCCTGATGTTACTGAATGATCCTCATAGATACATTCCTTTGATATCTAGGAGTCTAGTTTCCCACACCTGTAAGAAATCTTGAAGATTAACTCATTCAGTGTTTTTCTAGACTATGGGATTTCAAAATAAATATTAGTGGGGAAGAGCTGACATATGTTTGCCAACTTATTTTGCCTGGCAAGGACCTTAAAAGTTTATCAATTATTTATCACTATTATTTACCAAAAGAAAAAAAAAGCTGAAATGGTATGTCAAAAATAAAGAGCAAGTGTTTAATTTTTTTGTTTTGTTTTAATTTGCAACTTTATTTTAAGAGCAAGTGTTTAAACTGAATAAATTTAGCTTCATGAAAAATCACTATAGTATTTTTATCATTTCATCTCAGACCAGTAGGGATATGCCAGTTACCAATATGGGTACCAGTACTAATGACTGGGACTAATGCTACATCCTGTGTTTATGGCCAAATTCTACTTTGTAGTATACAGTATTGCTGCAAGATGTGCATGCTTTTTAATGATGGTCTTTTTTTTTTAACATTTTTTAAAGATTTTATTTATTTATTTGACAGAGAGAGAGAGGGCACAAGTAGGCAAAGTGGCAGGCAGAGGGGGAGGGAGAAGCAGGCTCTCTGCTGAGCAGGGAGTCCGATGTGGGGCTCAATCCCAGGACCCTGAGATCATGACCTGAGCCGAAGGCAGACGCTTAACCGACTGAGCCACCCAGGTGCCCCAATGATGGTCTTCTTGACTACAGCAATTTCTGTCCATTTTTCCTATGCTTTTTTCACACTTTTAGCCTGTCACAAACTCATTGACTCTATATGCCACCTCTCTTTCTATTAAACATTCAGAGCTATAGTTATTTCTATACCTGTTTTCCCCTTCTGGAAGAATTATACCTAGATATGAAATAGCAAGAAAAAAATTCTTGCCACAATAACTGGAACTGGGAAGCATGAAGCTATAGCAGCCAACCTGCTGTCTCATCACTGCCTGTGGACTTGTCCACATTGACTACAGATCTTGTGGTCCCATAATGGTACTCAGAATTATACATATGTTATCTTATTAATTTTATCAAATAACTCTGAAAGGTAGATATAATTCATTAGTATACCTAGTTTACATATGAGAAAATTGACTCAGAGATGTTAAGCAACTTTTTCATGATACACTGCTAATAAGTGGCAGCAAGGATTGAAACCTAGGGCTACCTGACTCCAAAGCCTATGTCTGTGTTCTTAACCAACACACTCTACTGTAAGTGGCTAAAATATTGCATACCTTTTAACAGTTTGTCATTGTACAGTTGAAAAAACCTTGGACTAGGGGTTGGAAAACCTGAGTTTAAGTCCTGACTTTGCCAGATCCTAGCTTTATGACCTTGGGTAAACTTTGTAACTGTTGTCTCAGCTGCCTACTTTGTAAAACTGACCTAATATCCTAGAGTAAGAAGCAAATAAGGTTATGTCTGGAAAAAGTGCTTTATGAATTCCAAAATAGTATACAATTGTGCTACTGGTTTCTTGTTATCTCTTATTCCCTCTCTCCCATACTTGCCACAAATACATCCCCTTAATTGATGACTGGGGCAAGAATTTAAGTTATATATAAAGAATTTAGTGATAAAGTTGAAACAAAAGGTCAACTCTAATATAAGGTCAATAAATGCAGTAATAAAGCAAGTATGTACTACATAGTTAAACCGTGCAGGCTCTTCTGCCTGTGACTTGCATCTGAAAAAGGAAGAAAAGTTAAGTTTTACAAGGCTTCCTCAGTTTTCCACTAAGACAGGAGAGGGCAGAAGAATGGGCAAAGGACAGTGCTGGGGAATAACAAAGACTGTGTCTCTCTCATGCTCAGATGAACAAGGGAGGGCAACACCGTCTCCATATGGAAAGTTGAAGGGGAAAGGAATTTATAACTATGATTGTTCTATCTCGTTATATAAGAAAACTCGAGCGGTATGGGTTTTGTTCCCATTGTTCCCATCGAACAGTAAAATGTGGGGAAGATCATAACCATAATAAATGCAGTTAACTCT